AATACCTCAACCACGATCTAAAAATCCATGAAGTTTCCTGCTTAGACTTCAAATGCTGCCTGGTAAAATCCTTCCTCTTTGCTTCCTTTTTTTGGAACTAATAGGTGACAAGTTCTATGAAATACACTGACAAGCCAAAATTTGACAATTCATGGTTAAAGCTGACAGCTTTACATTTCTGATCACGCTCAACTTTGATTAAAGAGCACAAGAAATTGGCATTTTACTACAAAATGTTTAAGCCTGCATAAATCAGTGTTTTTCTTTCAGTGTAGTTCAAATAAATACTCATACACACAAGCATGCCAGTGATGATACTTTTATACTCTAGGATTAGAGATTAAATATGAGAATAAATCTGCTAGCTTCTGGAAACAACTGCCAAAAGAGGAAGAAAGTAAAGAAGACCGTGGGCTCCTTAGTTCTTGTTGCTTTCTGGAAATGTATGTAACCTAGAGACAGAACTGTCGTCAAGAAACCAGGCAGTGACACTGCACTACCACAGTACTTCCTTCTTAGTGGCCTACCCCAAAGTCTGGCAAAAAACAGATAAAGGATTAGGATCACCTACTTGTTGGCATTGCTACTTTCTTTGCCTAAGGTGACCAGTCTTAGCCTTCTGGAATGCCATTTTTTCACTCGATGACTTTTTGACTCAGACAGTTTCTCAGCCTCATTCTTACAGTAAGTTTAATTGATTCTGCTTTGCAGTGTCCCCTGAGACCTTTGAAAAAGGTCTGATGCAAGACCTATCTGCTTACCATGAAGATCATTCCTGCCATGTTTGAAGGACTTCACAGGTTTAGTAAAATAACACTTTATGCAGGAATTTTAATAATAGCTGACAGTTGGATATCATAATATTTCTATGAGAAAGGTAGCCTGCTTTGTTGGGATAAAAAGGTCAAGGAAAATTTCACTCTGAATCCTTGTTGACCAGGCTGCAAATAGCTCATCAAAGGATTCCAGCAAGAAGCATCCCCCTCACCATTCTTCAGTCATCAACTTACCAACAAATGATGTCATTCTTCTCACAGGAAAATAATTTTTAGAAACTTTATTTCGGAATTAGGGTGTAAGATTTTAACAGCCTACCTAGATACAGGAATAGTGACGTACAAGTACTTCATCTTGACAGGCTTTTAAGGAAATAAGCATCTATACATAAGTGTTATATTCCCCTACACCTCTTACTTTCACTGTATGCTCTTGTAGCAGAGAGACCATGAGACCTGGTTAAGATAAATTATTTCCCTGTGCACATTGGTTTCCAAACCAAGTATCATTTTTGAAACTAATGAACATATTAATAATGTTAGCATTATCCCCTTATTCTTAACAACTCTATTATAACAACTATATGTAACATGGCTTTTGAGATCAAAGTGTAAACCAAGGCACGGTTCCACAGAAACTCACACCTCCTCCCTGCATGAACTTGATCTTGCAATATCATGTGTGCCGACAACTCCAGTCAAACTTATTGGTCATTTCCTTCACCTACTTGAACTATCCTGGCTCAAAAAATACTTTATTTTGAAGACTGTCTACTTGTAAATTACTTTTGTTTGCCCAGTTGAATGAACCATCAACAGCTTTCTCATTTTCTTCCACATCTGACAATTCTGTAGCAGCTATCCAACTATCCTTATGCTTTCTCTACATGAACTCTAAATCATGGCCTTATTGTTTCTATGCAAAAGACAGAAAACAAGGGACCTGAAAGGGAATTCCTATTCCTGTGGATTATTTATGAACTATGGTTGAATCCGGTAACTTTTGCCGGATGCCTCTCCAGTGGCATCTGTGGACTTCTTTGATCAGTGGTAAAGCAAGGCAGATGTGATGAAAAGCGTATGAAACTGACATTTAGGAATAATTAAAATAGAATCCTCTCCTGGATGAATTGGGAAGCATTGATAAAGCTCAAGTGGAAGGTACTGCTTCAGTACAAAGGTACTCTTCTGAAAGAGAAGGGAAGGCTCAGGCAGGAGGACAAAGAACGCCTGCATGCCTGAAAGAACAATAAGAAAAAAATACCTCTTTGACTAAGTGAAAACTTAAGACAGTTTGACTACTTAAACTGAAACAAACAGCTTTTGCTTGTGAGTCTGCATTTGCTGCTTCGTATCACAATGCTAATCACAATTTTGCCACTGGTCCCATTCTCCTACACATCTGCCATTGATGTAGAAGAGGTCAAGAAAGCATGGGATAGCCTTAGGATGCATTTGCACTTTAAGGCAGTACCTCTGATGTTCCTGTTGTAAATACACTATTTGATTTGCTGTCATAACTAGTGTACATGTTAATTTGTGCATTATAAACAGAATCCTGGGGGAGAAAATCTATACAATTAGCACATCAATCAGGCTGTTCTTCTGATATCAATGCCCATTGACTTCTCCATAAATTCTCTTTCACAACTAATATGAATCATGAATTAATCATAAGGACTAGAAAACTTAACACCATCCAAAGTTCGTAAATCCTAACAATATAGCATTAAACATTTATTTTTTTAAAATACTGTCACTGGTCCATCTGAATCCACAGTCTATGTGTGCATACTGAACCCATAATTCTTGCAGCCTGCTAACAACAGGCTATGTTAGTTGTGCTTAAAAGTTTGCAGCTATCAGAGTGGAAGGATGAAGGAAAACTTTGTTTTTCTCACCAAATGAAGAGCGCTTTCTTCCTGTTCAGATTCTGTGCTCTATGGTGTTTTGCAGCTAAGTCAATCTACCCAGGCTGCCCCCAAAATGAATGATTTTGCATGTGTCTGTATCCTGCTTAATCACACCATGGTGGCACCAGCAATCACACAGCAGTTTGGGAAGTACACTACTTAGGTAATTTGACTGGGTAGAAACTAACATGGGGGCGGGTTTGTTTTGGTTGGTTGTTCGTTTTTTCAGAGGTTGCTTTCATTTAGATCAGTTGGCTGATCTGACTACTGCTTTGCCATGGGATCACCGGTGCTGATGGAAAAGGGGTGCAAGGGTGCAGAGCCAGGCTTAAAGCAGAAGGCAAAACCTCACACCATGATCTACTTAAGCTGACTGTAAAAGCTGACCTTTAATCCCTGCCACCTCTTGCAATATGTGCTTTTTTTTCTACAACATATTTTAATAAAAATATTAAAAACGTATAATAATTTGTATTCCTTTTAAAACATTAAATTGGACATTTTTTCCTACTATCACACAAAAGCTGGTTGTTCAAGGCTACAGAAGGACATTCCCTACTGAAAAAATTCTCTACTGAAATTTTTGTATCCTGGAAGGACATGCTTTTTACTTTAAAGAAGAGTTTGGCCACATTGCATTGAGTATTGTAATGCTCATCATGTGACAGTTTGGCTTTTTTAAACTCACAAACACACGCACACCATCTACACTGAAAAAAAAGTTTAGGCTTTTATCAATCATTTACCTTTCAGGAAACGCGTGAATTAAAAATGCTCATATGATGCTACTTTGTCTGCTTGCTCCCCTGCTCTGTCATAAGAGTGAGGTCTGATTCTCTCCCAAAGTAGGCTCTAATCATGTACTTATGATAATGATCATGCACAAAGTCACGGTTACCAAGGCAATAATGATTCTCCCCGACTTTACTTTTACTCCATTTTACATTTTACTCCATTTTCCTTTCAAGCCTTTCAGTCTTTACTGTGGACCTAGTTTTAAGATACTTACCATCATTTATTCTTGGCAATCTGCCAAAATGTCCTGGGAAATTAAAATCAGACCAAATCATGGGTAACGTTAAGAGTTTTTATCTCAGCCAAACCTGACATGAATTTCAAGAGGGTATAAGGGAAGGAGAGTTGGGGTGATGACAGGAAATAGTTGGGTGACATTAGACTTTCCATTTCAGTAGATTTCAAAAGACTGGCTTATTAGGCGCTGTAACATATAAGCACTTGTAGAGGAACCTATTGATTATTCTGCAAGCCTGTAGCAGAGACATAGATACACAAGTGAAATGTACAGCTGAAGGCCCTATGGTCATGTGAAATTTTGAAGAAGTATAGCAAAAAACTAAGACCAGAAACAGACAGGCAGTCACAGTATCTATATCCCTATGGTCATTTTAGGTTTAGGTTTTTTTAGTTCAGCTTTAACATCTCCCAATCAATGGAAGTCAATTATCCCTTTTACCACCCTTTACCTGCTCACTGTTTAAAGAGAGCGGGTAGACAGTTAACAACTGTTTATATTCACATCACAAGTCATTTCAGAAAATCCTCCCTAGGTTTAGGAGTCAAACCAAACCAGAGGAAAAAGACTATCTTTAGAACTGAGGGACAAAGGAGAAGAAATGAAGGAAAAGGAGGGAAAAGTCAAGGTAAAAGCAAAAACCTATATTGCCATCACCTAATTTTAGATAGAAGTTATGAATTCAATCTAGACTAATCAACCAGGCTCCTTGCATAATCCAACAACAGAGAGACCTTAATGCTACTGGAGTGATTTGTCTCTATATTGATGCTTATGGTATGAATCACAACCTAACTGGCATCATCTATATTTCTCTACAGGCCTAAGAGATGGTTCCCTGACAACTGACTTATATTAGATGTTCTATTTCCATATAGCTCACATTATGCGAGCTAAACCACACTCTCTGCTGAGATGCATAAGTTAGAAGTGAAGTTGCTGGAGATTTCAATTACAGTTGTGAGAGGGGGGGCGAGAGAGAAGACAGAGGCACCTGCAGGAGTCAACTCAGCTCCCTTAACACCGCAGAATTTTATGACCTTCCTAACCCAAAAGAGTGCAACAAAGTTTGTGCCTGGCATGGATACCATGAAATCAAACAGATTAATGTAACAGAGAAATATATGACTATATGCTTTTAAAGTTATTTTTGAGCTAGAAAAAGAGATAAATGATCCTATCACCTTAAAAGAAATTTCCTACGCTTTCACATTTCAAGTTGAAATCACTTTGTCTATTAGTTATACACTCTGTATTAATTCAAACATGCACACCTACCTTTATGGTAACGTTTCCTTTTGTTATTTTTCTCATATTGAAGCCTACTGTAGGAATCATATCTTCTGTGAACTGCCCTGACTAGGATACAAACAAAAAAAAATTATATTTATTATAAAATAGTTGATATACAGCAGATGAGTTTCTCGTTCGCAATCTAAAATTTTTATTTTACAACACTGTAAAATATGACGTTAATTTTCTACAAGAACACTGGCCAGCACTTCAATTAATGCATTGTCACACCAAGGAAGACTGTTCATTTCAGTCTCTTTAAACAATCTTTTATTCTCCTCAGCAACAAAGATCACCCCAGAAATCACAAGACTTCAGATAATTCTTCATCTGATCCCTAAGCAAACCAGAAAGCAGCATGGTCAAAATACAGAATCACAGAATGGTTTGGGTTGGAAGGGACCTTTAAAGATCATCTAGTCCAACCCCCAGTATGATAAAATATGATAGAACTGACTATATCAGGATTTTTCCCTGTAGTTCTTCACTACTGTTACCAATGGTTTAACTCCAAACGTAATAAACAGTGAAGGTGTACTCATGTAGAGAGTACTATGTGCAGACCCTTTCCTTCTGAGTAGGTGGCAGCAGAGGAGTCCTACTGTAGAAGCTAAGAGAACACCACTAAGACAGAAAAATACAAGGTACTAACTCAGCACACCATAAACCCAAACTATAAAGCCAAAGTGCTACCTCCTCCCCCAGTTCAGAGAAATGTTTTTACAAGACAGATGCTTGTCATCATGCCAACAGGAACCTTACACGCATCTACCCACTACAGAAGACAGCTTCTGAGGAGAAAGGTGAAACTCAGATCTACATAGACAACTCATTATTCATTCTGCCTTTTCAAAATATATCATTAACATGGTACTGTGTCTCCTAGGAGTGGCGCATTAAGATATGCAGATGGTTACTTAAAAGTTATGTCTACACAGAGGCCCAGGTGCTCTCTGCAACACACACAGTAGTCCTGGTTTTCCAGTCATCCAGAAAGGACAGCAGGACCTTCTAGACTTGCCATTGCTCTTCCATATCCATCTGCCCATATTCCCTTTACCCATCTCATCATCCCATGTGCCCTGGGGTTTTTTTGGAAGAAAATACGGATATGTGGACAAGGAGTGAAGCAGGCATGCTCCAACAGGTCCCTCCCATCTGAGAAGTGGATGATCAGAGCTTCAGGGTGCACCAGAGCAGCTACATGCCTCGCAGTGCACACACTGCCACCAGCTACCCCTAATGCTACTGTTGGTCTCTATATGCTTTCTGCAACTTTTCTCTTGACTGTTTGTGGCAGAGTGGGAATACCCTATGCCTCCAGTCTGTGTTCACAAACTAAGACTAATTATTTTTAATCTGGGACTTTAAAAGCTGTATAACCTTTGACAGTTACTTGATCCTCTCACAAGATTTTGGGGTTTGGAATTAGATCCTTCAGGCAAGAAACAACTTCCGTCAATTACTTGTTCAACCTTACCTATGGGAACCGTCTTGCTAAATTCTGCACTATACATCTTCCCCATGTTTTGTTTCTGGAAGTCTCTTTTTTCCCTCCTCTTTCCTTGCTTCAATGACTTTTCAACAGCAGTAGGAAAAGACAGTGAAGACAAATGCACCTGCAGTTTCATACAGATACATGTACCCAGCAGTGACAGAAGTTTTTAATTGGATGGCATAAGACAAAGCCAATCAGTAACCATCTCCTGTAGCAGGTACTGGCCTAATTTGTTAAAATTTATTTTATTACATTTATTTGCAGAGGACAGAAATATAAACACATATGAACACACAAACCCTGAGAATGTAGCATCACTACTCAAGCACAGGAATGCAGAATGCCTGGAAAAACAGCCAGCCAACTCAGAAGGCTATTGTTTAAACAAACTCACAGAAAGTCAGGATTCCACTTTTGTTAGCAAATTATAAACCACATGTAATATGCTAAACTGGAAGACCAAAAATTAAAAAAAAAAACCATCATAACTGCTCCGGTATTGGGGATATAATGCAAAGAATTACTGTCCCCTTTATTGGTCTTTAGTCTTTTCCTCTAAAAATTTTCCATCCTAGTTGAACAAAACCAGCTACAAAGAAAGTGTTATGTTTACAGTTCTTTATTTTCCCACACAATGAAAAGAAAGTAATATGTTGAATCTTTTGCCAGCATTAGTCCAAAACCTCTGATTACTGTGTTTTGTTTCAAGCCCTGTAAGCATCATAAAGTAAAAAATCTGTTCCATTTTGCTTCCTAAGGAAGTTTTACATGACAAATTACCTATTTTTGTGAATATTCAAGATGTGCAAACAAGTTTATTGTCATTATCTCACTGAAAAAGAGATTACATCCTGACACAGATGAAAACAACTGATGCTAAGAAGTTTGTAATGTCCTCTTCAAATGTTGCTGAATATTGAACTGATAATTAATACTGCCGTAACTCCTTACCATAACAACCATGGGCCTGATTCTACTCCATTACATCAGTGCACATCCACAGTAAAAGGCAGTGACGTTATCCAAGGTTTCCACTGGTAACAGAGGACTAGATATGGCTCAGACTCTTCAGGGAGGAGACTGTCTCAAAGGGTGTTTATTCAGTGTTAGCATGATAGAATCTCTGAATACCATCGCAAAGTGGAAAAAATAGCAATTTCCTACCATTTGTTTTTATGATCCATTGCAGGTTGCATTTTAAGTAGCCACTATTTTGTGACAGTTGTTTTCATCTCGTCACACTCTAGCCACACACACACAAATGCACACAGAGTTCCCAATCTCTTTGCCATCCCATATCAACTGTATTCAAGAGTAAGCTATTATCCATTGCCTTACTCCCAAATTCTTCAGCCACCCTTCTTCAGGGACTATCATGGTGTGTCATCTCCAGATTGAAAGATCCAAAAGCTACAAAACCTGCAATCTGTGACACTCCCCAAGTCAGAAAACATGGATGTCTTGTAGAATATTCTTAAGCAATATGTTTGCTGTCAAAACCAGACCTGCAGTAAGAGCAGTGCTCTGGTATTCAAGATATTAGCACAAGAGAGACAAACATATGATGCCATTCCACAGGTGGTGTATCATAAATGAGTGGACAAACATTTACACACACAAAGTCTAATACCCCACACTACTGTTAGAGGTCTCTGAACTGCTGTGTTCTTCTTTGCTCTGTTTATGAAATCAATCCAAGAAGCAATACAGTCTGTCATGCCTTTTCCCCCTTCCTCAGCAAAGCCCGCCCTTGGGAGATGAACACTTCCAATGGGCATGAGGAGTGCTGAGGCCTGTGTTACCAGGATCACTAGGGTAACTAACTAACTAAAATACCAGTTCCAGATATTTTCTGTTTATTGATTGCTGATGTCTCCCAGCACATACCTTCATTGCTTTCTGTATTTTCCCTACCCCACTCCTTTTTCTCCTTCCTCTCTCCACTTCTTCACTCACACTAACCTCCTACTTTTCCCTTAATCCATAATCATATATGAAAGCAAACAACAAATATCGTATACACATGTTTGTCATTGTCTCAATCTCTTTGACGTTAGGCCATACACCTCCCAGTCTGGTTTTGACTCTTGACCCAGTAACTTTTCAGAATAAGGACTGAAGAACATCTGGAAGCCCGTATCTCATGGCAGGTGAAGATGCAATACATCTAACAGCAACGATCACCTCACAGAAAAGGGTAGGTACTGAGAAGTTCCATGATTAGTACTAACCGTATTTAACATACATATTTGTTTCCATCTTCCGATGGAAAGTAAATCTTCGGGATGGGCCCAAATGCAGAAGAGCAGAGAGCATAGCAAACAAAGATGAGGAACGTATTTCAGCATGGCAACAAAGTGGGAAACGTCATGGTAGGCATCAGCATTAGAGAGGAACAAGGCTGCAAGGCCTTCACCACAGTGGGAAAGGAATGCCAAAATCAGGCTTCAATGCTGGGAAAGAGCGATCAAGGAATTCTGGGAGGCATCAATATTGATGCAACTGATGGGAAGTGAGAATTCAGTGACAGGAGAGTTGTGGTCTTGGAGGATGCACAAGATATTCTGAGTGATTCTGGGATACACTGGCAGTGAAAAGCCAACTCTGAATCACGGGCAAGAGTCCGTGCCCAAGAACCTGCTTTGAGACGGGCACGCTTCGCAGTCAGACGCAGGAGACATTTTCTTCCTCCCTCTTAAAACAATTTCACACCCATCCGAGCCTGCTGTGAAATTCTCCAGGTCGCACAAGCTGCAAGAGCTGCCTCACGCCCGCCGCCCCTCCGCCCTCCGCCGCGCCGCGGGACCTCATGACAGGAGGCGGCTTCGCCGCAGGCCGCGGAGGCAAAGCCCGCACTTGTTGCCGGGGGCAGCGACGCGAAGCGGCCGGCTCGGGGCGG